GTAAAATGGATTTAGGGATATTGAACTTCCCCTTTTCTATCCTTGCTCAGCACAATCCCTCATGGCGATGGTGGGAAGGAAAGTTTACACTTAAAGGATAAATCAATGTAGTATCCCTATCTGCTTCCTATTGGCCTGAGTGTTGTAGCTGTTGTTCAGAGCATTGAGTCAAGGGTGAGTGAGAGGGTGCCTGTGGCTCTAGCTTGCATCAGTGTTCAAGAATAGGAAGATGAGTTTAACATCTCTTGCTTACCTTTGCCTCCTTTGTCTCTTCCAGGTGTGGTGAAGTCCACCTGGGAAACAAGGAAAGACTAGAGATTTGATTTAAGAAAAGAATTGTTGGAAAGTACCCTGATGACATTTACCTATTGCCAAATATTCTCTCTATAGCAGCACAGGGCAAGAGGGAAGTTCATAGTATTTTTTCATAATCCTTTGTATTTCTGTGGGATCACTTGTTACTTCACCTCTTTCATTTCTGAATGAAATTCAGAAATTTTTGGAGAAAGTTATTTAATTTGTAGTTTGAGTGATCATATAGGCTTGGTAGGTTTTGACTTTAGTAAAGCACTTGACAAATTTTCCCTGATTTCATTGTATTTTCTTAAGGCTATTATGAGTAAATGGAGATTCAGTTCTCCATAGTTGAAGGAAACTTTTTTCTTTTTTTTAATTAAGTTTTTGAAAGTGACATTGGTTAATAAGATCATATAGATTTCAAGTGTACATTTCTGTACAATATATGATACATGATCTATATATTACATTGTGTGTCCACTATCCAAAGTCCAATCATCTTCTGTCACCATATGTTTGACCCCCTTTACCTTTTACTATTCCCTGAGCCTCCTTTCCTTTAGTAACCACCATAATCTTGTCTATGTCTATGAGCTTCAGTTTTATATCCTACATATGAATGAAATCATATTGTTCCTAGCTTTTTCTGATTCACTTATTTCACTTAGCATAATATTCTCAAGGTTCATCCATATTGTCTCAAATGGTTAGGCATTAAATACTAGTAAAAATAGTGTCAACAATCAGAAAGCAAAAACTTTAAAGATACAGGGAAATAAAATACTATAACAGCAGTAGACTTTAACTCAGCTCTCTCAGCCTCTGACTGAAGGAGACAAATGTAAGAATATATATTATGTAAAAAGCATAATTAACAAGATGGCCCCAGTAGGTATATATCCAACTTAAACCTGAGTTTGCAACTTACTTTCCACTGACCATGAAGCATTTATAAAACTGATCATATATTAGTCCACCAAGAAAACCTCAATACATCTCAAGGAGTAGAAATGTATAATTCATTGTTAACAATATCAGGAAAAGTTGTTACTAGATTAATATGATGCAGCTTCTTGCACATTACTTGTACTTGTGAGTAAGTAATGTAAATAAATGATTGTTTATATATTAAAACATTCATGGGATACATAGAAAAAGAAACTATGTCAATTACATAAATTTTTAAAGATAAATCCAAAAACTCAAAGAAACTGTGTTTATTGGGATGACTTTGAGCTGTCTTCAGTCTCCTTAATTCTTCATTCCTCTCTGCTCATAGGAAAATTAGACCACAAACCTTGAGAAAAATTGTGAGGGTATTTCTTTTTAGAGTTTAGTGAAATGTAGTTAGTGAATCCTTGCTAAGATGAAGTTAATAGGCTTAAAATGTATCCCCCTCCCCCACTCTTTGTACAGAAAACTTATGAATACTGGCCAAAGGAGTTTCTCTTATGTTGTCATTTAAAGCCCTAGTCCTAGTCATTAAAGGAAGCTTTTTGAAAACAGGTATGTCCTGCTTTTGAAACTTGAAAATTGAACTGGAACACGTGGTGTTCCCCTAGGCAGGATGCAAAGGTGGCTTCCCCAGTTCTTGTCCAGCTGGGTTGGAAGAATAAAACCATGGATAAAAAGTGGTATAGGAAAAGGTAGAAATTTATTGAGAAACAAGCACAGACTCCCACATGGGGAGGGAAAAAGAGTCCCACTAAGTCCCTTTTTTCTAAGGTTTATAAAGGCTGCGGTTCTTTGTGTCTTGATATCCCCTCTTATTGGTCACTATAGCAGCTTCAGAGTTCAAACCTCATGTAAGGTTCCCCTCTTCTTCTCCCTTTTGTTTTTCTATTCCCTTTGGCCTTCCTCTTCCCTCTCTGAATGAGTGGATTTCTTTCCTTTATTCTTTAAATATATGGCAGCTCCCTTATTCTATGGATGTGTGCCCTCTGGCAGCTCCCTGATTCTGTGAATATATACCTTTGGGCAGCTCCCAGCTTTGCAGCCCTGTGGTTCTCCCCAAAAACCCCGTAATTCCTAAAACTTCCTAAACCTGCCTATTTTAACCCTAAAAATTCCTTTTACTTTCAGCTATAGTTTGAGGTTCTCTGGTTAAAAACTTTGTCTTATTTCCTCTTGTATCCCCAGTACTTGGCTGAAGGCTTGACACACAATAGGTGGTCTGTAAATGCTTATTGGATTCATAATGTAAGCTTCTTCTTACCTGATAGCAGTAAAATGGATTTAGGGATATTGAACTTCCCCTTTTCTATACTTGCTCAGCACAATCCCTCAGGGCGATGGTGGGAAGGAAAGTTTACACTTAAGGGATAAATCAATGTAGTATTCCTATCTGCTTCCTATTGGCCTGAGTGTTGTAGCTGGGTTGGTCTCTCCCACTGTTGTTCAGAGAATTGAGTCAAGGGTGAGTGAGAGGGTGCCTGTGGCTCTAGCTTGCATCAGTGTTCAAGAATAGGAAGATGAGTTTAACATCTCTTGCTTACCTTTGCCTCCTTTGTCTCTTCCAGGTGTGGTGAAGTCCACATTCTCTCTATAGCAGCACAGGGCAAGAGGGAAGTGGTCAATGGG